CTCGGGCTCGGGCCCTGCACCTGTGACTCCCGGCCGCGCTCGCTCTCTGCCCGCCCGGCGCCGCAGCCCCATGGCCCCGTCCCGGCTGCAGCTCCGCCTCCGCGCAGCCTACTCCGGCATCAGCTCCGCGGCCGGCTTCTCCATCTTCCTCGTCTGGACGGTGATCTACAGACAGCCGGGGACCGCCGCCATGGGGGGTCTTGCAGGTACCCCCGGGGCGCCCGGGGAACGCGGGGTCCCGGCTCCGGACGGGGCGGGCGCGCGGCTTCGGGGAGGGCGCTGTCAACTGCTCCGGGAGGCTCCTCCCGGGCGGCGCTTCCCCCAGGGAGCGGGTGGGGTTTTTACCCAAAAACGTCGGTTGGCAGCGCAGGCCCCGCGCGGGCCCGTGTTTCTGGGCATCTCCGGTGCCTCCGGGATCCGATGCCCGCCCAGGGTGGCGACGGCCCGCGTCCGCCGTTTGCACAAACTGGCCTCTCCGCCCGGGTTATCTCGTCCCCGCACACTGTCGGGCGGCCCTCCGCCCAGTTGCCCCATTACAGCCTCCTCTCTGCGCGCACGCTTCGCTGGCCACCCCCTTCCCTTTCCCTAGGTGGGACGACCTCCCAACACAGCACTTGTTCGGGGGATCCCCGCCTGTCAAGCGCCCCTTCCCTGGGGGAGGGGAGGGTTCCTGGGAAAGCTCACCTGCCTCCTTCCGGTGGGGACCCCCAACCCCGGCAGAGCCCTCCGCGGAGACCAGGAGGACTGCGCTAGGGATCCGATGGCAACTGGGCATTTTCTTTCCACCCACACGGGTGCCTTTTCGACACTCGTCTGCTGTGGTTCCTCGGCGAGTGATAAACCCCGCGAACAGCCCTTTCTGTGCCTCAAGGAGGGAAGGTGAGGCGTCAGGGCGCTGGGGGAGACCCTGTTCTCACCGCTGCTCTGCACTTGTGCACCTTTGGGCACGCGATTTAACCTCTCGGTGCCATGGAGTTGTTGGTGTGAAGACGAAAAATATTCTTTCTAGTTGTTAACTTTTTTAAAGTGCTTTCTATGTGTCAGGCACTGTATTAAGCAATCTGCTTCCATTATTTCGTTTAATCCTTGCATTAGTCCTGTGAAATAGGCATTATCATTGTGCCCATTTTACAGGTAAGGAAACTGAGGCCTAGAGAAAATAATTAATTTGCCCAGGGTTACATAGCCACATAAAATAAGTGGGAAAAGGACTTTGGGAAAAATAATACGTGTAAGGATAATACTTTTACATATGATGATCTTATTCCACTACTAAAATCCTCTGCCAAAAAAGCCTTAGATGGAATAAATAAAAATAACTAAGCTACTCATTCCACGTAGTTTACTGAAGCCATCCCTGCTTAGAGTGGAAGTATGAGGTGGGGTTTCTGACTTATAAAAGGGGCCTACATGCCAAGCAAAGAGCTGGATCACAGAAGGGCAGTGGGCGCCCGGCTGGGATGTCCTCCTGCCTGCCTGATGTCCTACCAGCTGCAGGCTCCTGTCCCTCCTCAGGGCAGCCCCCCCATCTCTGCGCCCTGGCTCCTCTCCCGTCTGCACTCCACCACCTGCCATACTCTTCAAGGTTCGCTTCTCTTTGCATCTTGTTTCTGTTTCCTTTTGGCCCTGCAGCTGTCCCCTCTGGAAGGTGGTGTCAGGGCCCCACGATTGCCTTGCTAAGACCTGAAATAAGTGGGCTGGCTGGGGGATAAGTGGGAGGGAAACCCCTGGGATCCCCGCTGGGTGTGTTAAGATCTGGCCTGGTGGAAGTGGTCACGTGGCCCTACCTAGCTGTGTGACCTTGGGCGTGTTCATGCCTCCTGGGCCTGGGTTTCCTCATCTGTAAAGAGTGGGAGGAGATGCCACGGAAAGAGATAGCTGACTTGCCCCCAGATCTGAAATGTTGTGATTCTGCTGTCCACTCCCTGAATCTTTCCTCTCTCAGCTTCTGTTAAAGGGTTGTGGAAAAGGCCCTCTGGCTTGTACACCAAGCAATTGCCCGGGATTTCCCTCGGACCCAAACTCTGCCCCCTCTCCCTCCCACAGGCTTCCCTTGGCCTCTGAGGCAGGCCAGCTGTGGAGCTGCCTTCAGGGAGAGGCACTAGGGCAGCCACCAGCTGGAGTAGGGTTCTGCCATCTCTCTGAGGGTCTGACCTTTGACAGCCAGGAGGTGGCTGTAGAAGAGCCAAAGCTGCTTGGTGGTGGCAGATGGTGGGAGGGGTGAGGGTTGTCAGTCCAGAGCACCTTCCCTACCCTGAGTGTGTTCCGAGAGGGTCTTTAGCCGGTCAGCCTTCTTCCTCTTTTGGGGGTGAAGTGTCAGCAGATTTACTGACTTGTAAGCACCTCATTGCTGACTCGGCATTTTTTGTTGTTGTTGGCTGGCCGGTGCAGGGATCCGAACCCTTGACCACAGTGTGATCAGCACCATACTCTAACCAGCTGAGCTAACTGGTCAGTCCCTTGACTCAGCATTTTGCAGCCCAGAAACTGCTGAGTCACCTGACGGCAGCCCCATCATGCTCCTTCTCTCCTGCGCGGAACCAAGCAGGGGCTAGTTGGGTGTGCTGGTTTCTGGGGCAGGGCCAGCCCTGGAGCCCCTGGTCCAGTGGGCAGAGCATTCATGGGTGGGCATGTACCCTCCCATCTTGGTGAGTATCTAGGAAGAAGCAGCTTTGAACAAAGGCAGTCGCAGAAGAAAGGCTGATTTTCCTAGAGAGGCGTGGATTCGACCTACCTGCTCTGGCTTTGCTGTGGGAACCCTGGGGAAAACACAAATTCTTGCTCTAGGTCTAATAATCCAAGGAAAGAGAAAAAGAATAGAAAAAGTTGCCCCAAGAGTCTAAGCTCTTCCCACTTGTGCTGCGAGGAGTCCTGGTGCTCTGGGCCTATCTTCTTCCTAGAGCAGGAGTAGAGGGGTGGGGGCAAGATTGGAGAGGCGCCCTGAGCCAGACCTAGTGTCCTGGCTGTCTGCTTTTACCCTGTGGACTCCCCTGGGTGTCTCCTGTCTCCTCACCTCCAGCCCAGTGGCAGGAGATACTTCACTGACCAAGCCTGCCCTTTCCTGTGTTTGGCTTGTCAGAGGTGAGCCCAGAGGCCCAGTAGGGGCCCTGCTCCTCAAGGAGCAGGTAGGGTGGAATGAAGGTGAGGTATGGTATGGGCTCGCAGCCAGGTAGACCTGTCTGTTCTGCCCCAAATTGTACAGACCAGATTTCCTGAAGTCCCAGAGTATCCTAGGGAAGGGTTCAGGGCTGGGGGACAATGGCCTCCTGCCTGATGTGTGGGAACTAGTGAGAGGCTCCACCTCCTTCGGTGACCACCGTGGTCTACTAGAGCTGGCAGGGCAGGTCTCTCTTCCAGGGAGAGTGTTGGGAGCCAGGCAGGGTGGGAATGGGCCTACCTCTAGACTTGGCCTGTGTTATCTGGTGGTGAGGGCTGTGTGCAGGGACTGGAGCAGGGTTGAGGCGAGGCGAAAGGTGGGTAAATTGTGCCTGCTTGTTAACAAAACAGGGACCTGAAATACCCAAAATAGCCATCTTCCTCTCCCTCCTACTCTCAGCCCTTCTTGCTGTGCACGTGTATGGGGGGTGGGGGTTTTGGGGGAAACCACTGGATCATGGCCAGTGGACTAAGAGGTGGCATCTTCACAGGCCCCTATTTCGGCATTTCCTAACCCGGAAATTGCTGAGTCACAGAGGAATTGCTCTGACCTCTATTTTTCTCCTAAGTTGGCTTCCAGAATCTTTGAGTAGAAAAGGGTCTTAGGGCTCATCTACTCCAACCCCTTGGTGGCATGAGGAGACAGAGGGTGGGTGGACCTGTCCCAGACAGGTGCCCATCTGACTGCTCCTTGAATGTGCTCAGTTACAATAAGCTTCAACCCTAGGGCCCTTTAAGAAACCAAGCTCCCTCAGATGAAAATTTAGGATGTACAGAAAAGACTTCTGGGACGGTGGCTGGCATGAAATCCAGAACCTGTATTAAGCGGAAGCTGTGGGACCATTATTTTGTCCACCTCTGGCCTGCTCCAGGCATCCCACCTAGGCAGGAATGGAGATGTGCTTGTCCTGGCCCACCCTGACCTCAGGGGTAGAGGGACCCACATCCCAGGTCCCCAACCACTGAAGAAGGTTGGGGGTGGGCAGGGGCAGAAGTGGGAGAGTGTATGTGGAACCCTGAGCCTGGCGGGACCTCTGGACTCACCCATTTTTAGATGTGGAAACACCCAGGCTCTCAGGCACAGCAGCGCCAGGCCCCAAGTTTCCTGGCCTGCAGTCTCGTGGGTTTTTGTTGAAAACCAGAGCATTACTCCATGATGACTAGCTTCCCCCGCCTTTTTTTTTTATGCTCACTTTTAAGAAATTATGAGTATTTCAGGCATGTAAAAAAGATGGACAATTTAACCAATGCTCTTACACTCACCACCCAGCCTAAAAATAAAATAGCATAGATTCTGCCAAAGTACTCTCCTATCCCTACCTCCTTATTTCCTTCCCTTCCCAGAGATAACCAATTTTCCCAACCAGATAGATGCTTGTCATTCCTGTGCACTGTTTGGTACGCTGCTGTGCGCGTAGTGCGCGCAGCTCCCTGTGAGAGGTCTCCCGCCACCTAGTATGCGGCAGCCATGTGGCCCATACCCTACACACCAGCAGGCTGAGAGTGCTCGCCTCTGGCTCTGCCTCTTTCCTCCTTCCTCCCTGGCTGGGACCCCACAGCCCTGCTTGGAACCTTTGCCAGTGGAACTGGTATTTGTTCCACTCTTTGGGCTGTACCAGCAGGCACTGCCCAGCACAGAGGGTTGTATTGTATTGTAGTGTATTGGCTGAGTGGCAGCTGGCATGCTAGGAGAAGTGCCCACCCGGGCCCAGAGGGCAGGCCCAGGAAAGGTGGGGGTGTTTGGCTTGCCCTTTGCTGACAGCTGGAAGAAGTGGCATGAGGTCTGTCTGACCAAGAGCAAGAAATTCACATGGGTGCTAGGTGGTCTTGGGAGCCTAATGGCTGGGCCTCTTCATCCTGCAAGACCCATACAGGGAAGTGGGAAGAGCCCGCTGCCCCAGAGCTTGGCTACAGGCCTTGAGACTTGGAGGTACACCCCCTGAGGGTCAGTGGAGGAAGGGCACAGGGCGGGAGGACTGCTTCCCCACATCTGTGGCCCTGGGGGTAGGTAGTGGGACGTCCCCAGAAAACAGGCTGGACTACTGAGGTTCTCAAACTTCCTGGTTTCGGGACCCCTTTACTTTACTCTTTTGAAAAGTAGTGAAACTCCAAGCAAATTTTGTTTGTGTGGGTTATATCTATCAATATGTACCATATTAGAAATGAAAACTGAGATCATTTTAAAGCATTTTAAGGTAATATTAAAAATAACATTGCATTAACATAAACATTTTTTTGTGAGAGATATTCATGCCTTCTAAAACAAAAAAACTTAGGGAAAAGAATGGCATGTTTTTGTATTTTTGAACATCTCTTGAACATCTGGCTTACAAGGCAGCTGGAGTCTCTTATTTGCTCCTGCATTCAAAGTCATGGTGATATCACATCCCATGTCAAACTACTATGCAGTCAGGAGGGAAAGAGTGACAAAGGCCACTGTTCTCTTAGCATTATGCAAATAGGCCTGACCTAGTGGACCTACAGGTCCCACCTGCCCCTACCCCAGCTTACTGGGCTGGAGCTGACCGGTATGTCCCTACAGGTGTGCTGGCGCTGTGGGTCCTGGTGACACATGTGATGTACATGCAGGACTACTGGAGAACCTGGCTCAAGGGGCTGCGCGGCTTCTTCTTCGTGGGCGTCTTCTTCTCAGCTGTCTCCATCACCACCTTCTGCACCTTCCTCGTGCTGGCCATCACCCGGCACCAGAGTGAGGGCCCGCCTGGCTCAAGGGGCTGCGCGGCTTCTTCTTCGTGGGCGTCTTCTTCTCAGCTGTCTCCATCGCCACCTTCTGCACCTTCCTCGTGCTGGCCATCACCCGGCACCAGAGTGAGGGCCCGTCCCAGGAGAAGAGAGCATTGGAGGGGCGGTGGGGCTTAGAGAAGACCCTGGGGTTCTGGTCCTGGTTCCACAGCTTACATCCAAGGGACATAAGGGCAGCTCACTTAATCTCGCATGCCTGGGTTTTCTCATCGTGAAAGTGGGGAGAATGAGTGCCCAGCCATAGGGATGGGAGGATTCAGTGAAACTCGGTGCAGTGTTGAGCACAGTGTGTGGCCCTTATACGCACCTAGGAGAGTTCTTTATTGGTACCATTTAGCCTCTGCCCAGCTCTGGGATCAGAGTGCCCTCTGGTGGCTGTGACCAGAGGTAGCCAGAAGCCCTTCTTCCCGCTAGAGTCCCATGCTAAAGCAGGTTGGAAGTGGCCTAAGGTACATGTCACAAAAGCAGAGTGGGTGATACAGACCTGTGGTCGGCCAGCCCTGACCTTCCCTCACCCCCACGCCTCCTGCCTGCAAACCTTGAATCCTCTAAATCCTTTATTATCATGCTCAAGTCTTTCTATAGGATTGGTTCAGGGATATTGAGTGGGGCCTGTCCTGGGGCTAAGGGCAAGGAGAAGGCCCTCTTGAGTCACCCTTGGGCTCCTCTCCCCTGCAGGCCTCACAGACCCCAGCAGCTACTACCTCTCCTGTGTCTGGAGCTTCATTTCCCTCAAGTGGGCCTTCCTGCTCAGCCTCTACGCCCACCGCTACCGGGCTGACTTTGCCGACATCAGCATCCTCAGTGATTTCTGACCCAGGAACTGAGGTCTCTACACCCTCGGGGGCCTCAGGACCTGGACTCAGCCTCTAAGATATCAGGAGGACCTGCCCCTGGCCCCTGGGGACCCCAGAACTGTGGCAGAAAATACATAGCAGGACTAGTGCGGTCTCCCAGGAAGCTGCCCAGGCCCCTTTGGGGAGACCAGGGTGCGGTGGAAAGGGGAACATGTTGCTCCTAGGTGGCCTGGCTGGAGGGCAGATCTAGACTTCTTCAAATGCATCTATTTTCTTAGCACTCAGTGAGGAATCTTTGTAAGTAAGGCCAGGGCAACGAAGTAAAAGGGTAGGACCGTCTGACCTTGACCTATGCCTGGGGGCAGAGGGCAGGGGGCGGGTGATTTGGTGCCTGCTGCCCAGGTACTGAGACTGGTGGGAACCTGGGGAAATCAGGTCAGGTAAGGAGTCATCCCATCCTGTTACTCCCCGCCACCACCCCCCAGTCAGGCAGCTTAACTCATCAGTCCCAGGGGCGGTACATCTGGCTCTTTCCCCAAGGCCTGGGGAGTTGAGTGCTCAGTGTCCCTCCTCCTGCCGTTCCACCCAGGGCTGGTCTCCCATGAGTGTGCTAGAGCCAGAAAGCCATTCACCTTTCTCTCTCACACATACACGCCCAAGATCAGGACTCCCCAGACGATGCCAGACTGAGGGGAATGTGCGCCTGCCCCTAGAGGGGCTCTGGAGAAGGGGCAACATGGCGCAGGCTGGAAGGAACCCCTGCATCCAGCCCTGCGTTCCCCTCTGCCTTCTCACACCTGCCCTTTTGCACTCAGACCTGGCCATGAGACACCTCTCCTACTCCAGCCCTTGCTCACTGCCCTTCAACCAGAGCTTTTATCTTTTTTAGTCACCCTTTTGAAGGACAAAATCTGCTTTTCTGCCCATACACTGGCCCAAGGGCTCACCTAACTCGGGAGGGAAGGGGCTATCATTACATGTCTTTTTGTTAGGTTGCCATTTTGCACTGTCTACCCCTTTCCCACCTGGTGTGTTTTGCCCTCAGCTCTTTGCCTTATCTGTGTCACTGTCATTTTAGCAGAAATACAGCGGCCATTTGTATCATACAGCCTCTGGTTGTTTCTTGTGGGATGGGAATGGGGGGGTGGACTGTGAGGGTGGTAGGCAGGGCGGGGGGGGGGTGGTCTTTAGCTATCTGATTAAACCATTTTCCTAAATTGCGCCCTGGAGGGTAGGGAATGGGTTCAGGTCTCAGGGGCTGGAGACCTCTTGCTCTGGTCCCTCTCAGCTCATGGGACCATCAGCTCAGCCCTCCTCTTCCAGCTCTCTCAGCACACGGCCAGCAGGGTGAGGATGCCCCCCGGGCACAGCCTCAGCAATCCTTGTGGGATGTGGTGTCCATCACCCGAGGAGCCAGGACAGATGGGAAAGGGACAAGCACGTCTGTCCTTCACACTCTGCCAGGATGCTGCAGGCTTGGGGCTGGTCTGAGATAACAGGGCTGCACTCCTGCTGGAGAAGCCTGGCAGACTTAGAACCATAAAGGCAGGTGCTGGTAGCCCCTGTGCCGTCCTCTCTGCTTATGCTGGGGGAACGTGTCTAGAACTGTTGCCTCACCCATTCTTTCCTTCAGGCTCAGTAGATGCTTAAGAAGTCATGGTGCCTTAGAGCAGGAAGGAACCATAAGCAGTGTCATTTCCAGAGCCTTTCACTAATAAACAGAGGCCCCAGCAGGTGATGTGACTTACCTCAGCTCCCAGCTGAGACTTAAACCCAGGTATGTCTGACTCACGGTCACCCTTGGGGATGCCCTATCAGCTGGGACTAAGCGTGTATAACCCCCACCCCCATATACACACACTCCATACCTGGGCCAGGCCCTCCGTCCATGGACTCAGCCCAAAGCTGCCTCCTCCTTACCGTGAAGTGGGGCAGGCGGGGCAGCTAGGGTGTGTTCAGAGTGGGTTCTTCCTGCCAGGCAGCAGGGCAGCAGCGAAGCAGGGCAGTGGCCACAGAAGGGCAATGAACTAGAGAGGGGCTGTGGCCCAAGTGACCTGTCCCTTCTGGATACTTTGTCAGGTGCACACCACGCGGTGCAGCTGTGTACCCGTGTGCATGCCCCCTCGACAGGCACTGTTCATATCCTGGAGCCCTTTCCCAGGAACTTTTAAAGCAAATAAAACATTTATTGTTCAGATTTTTCTCCATTTTTTTTCCTTTCTTTTTTTCTTTTTTACAAAAACATGCATACATACACAGGGCAAGGAGGGTCCTGGGGAAGACACACTCACTCACTCACTCTCACACACTCACACACACACACTCACACACACAAATACTTTCCTTCTTGGCCCAGGCCTGGGCCCAAAAGCCTTGAAGACTTGGCAGGGCAGGTCCCCTCCCCCATGTCTTATGTCTACTCTCCCACCCCCTCCCTCCTCAGCCAAGTGAGTCTTGTGTGGGGCAAGAGTCAGAGCTGGGGTGGGGGAGACCCCAGGAACAGAGGCTCATGGAGAGGACAGTGACGGGGGGTCCCTAGGGGTCATGCTGTGCTTCTGAGGGGAGATGAAGGGTTTGGCACCATTGGATCAGGAAGCACAGGACTCCAAGAGCACATGTCTACCCCCGAGGGCACTGAGATGGTGGAGGCAGGGTGGCCTCTTGCAGGGGCAGGAACCAGAGGGAGGTCTGCCGGTCACTGCTCTCAGAGGGAACTTCGTCTCAGTGCCCAGTGGTGCGGGGAAGCTTCTGGAGTCCTCCGAGGAAGCAGGTGAGTGGAGGGGTCTCCCCCTCCAATCCAGGATATGGGACCTCTTGGCTACCCACGCCCCCCTCCAGCCTGCAGAGCCCAGGAAGGGCCACCCTGGCTGAGGCCAAGTTCACATTTCTGTGTGGAGCCTGGGGTTGTGTGCAAAGTCAGGGATTTGCAGAGCCAGGAATAGTGGTTAAGTGTGGGCCCGATCAAACTAGTCCTCCTCTGTGCAGCCTGAGGAACGGGCCACAGCTAGGGGCCCGGACACTGGAGGGCCAGAGGCTGTTCTTGAGAGAGCCCAGCTGGGGCCTGGCTGCCCAGCCTGCCTCCTCTCAGCATCCTCTCCAGTCTCCCTTCTCGACCCAGGGGCCTCTCAGACTCCCTGGGGTGACCATCAAGGCAGGCTGTTTTCTGGCCCCGACTACCTGCCCACAGGATCTCTGAAGACCCAGGAATGGGGGCTGTGGCCAGAGGTTAGAAGACACCCACGTCCGCCGGGCAGGTGGGTGGGCAGATCCGTTTGGAAGCCTCAGAGAGTCATGGGTTCTTCCTCCTCCACCAGCTGCTCTGAGGGCCTGGGGGCAAGGACAAGGGTGGGCTGCTGGAGGGCCAGGGGCTGCAGGAAGGGCTTTAGTGAGCCTCCCTCCCAGCCCTGGTTAGGGGGCCTGAGAGGGTAGCTGCATGAGGAGCCTGGGGTCTTCGAGTTGGGAGGACCGAGGGGGTGGAGAGGCCGAGGGCCCAGGGCCAGGGGTCCACCATTACCTGTCTTCAGCCAGGATGCCCACAGAGAGGGATGCCAGCGCAGTCACCGCCTCCACTTCTGCATCAGCCCCTGGCACCCTGGGCAGCCAGGAGTCTGGACAGGAGGCCAGGCGCTGCATGGAGCCCCAGTATTTACCTGAGGCAGGAAGCCAGGTCAGAAAGGCTTAGAGAAAGCCAGCGCCTCCACCCTGCATCCTAGACTGGATACTGAGGCTGGCGTCTCAGACCCAGGGTCCAAGAGTAGTAGGCATGTCTTCAGCTGGCTTGTGGTCAGCTCTCCTACCTGCCTCTACCCTCAACACAACACTCCGCAGAGCAGGTACAACCTGGCTGTGAGGGGACTTGAGCAAGGTCCCGCAGCTAGTAAGCGCAGGATTAGGATTTGAACTTCAGCCTGCCCAACCCCTTCTCCCATCGCCTGCGGCTGAAAGGCCACCTCTGACTCATTCCCCATAGGTGTGGGGTGCCCACGAGCACCAGGAGGGCCCACCTGTGAGCCCTGGCCTCCTGGAGCACAGGCTCCTACTCACATAGCCCCCACCAGTGCTCAGCCCGGCAGCCAGGAAGGGAGGGAGTGTGGGCAGGGGCAGGGGAGAACTCAAGCTGATTGCCCCCACGACCGCTCGGCAGGGCCTTTAGGGCTTCCACTGCCCCCTGTGACTGTGAGAATGCTCATCCTGCCTACTGTTGTGAGAAACAATGGCCATGAACATGCCCAGCACAGAACCTGTGCCAGTGTGAGTGATCCATTAAAAGAACTGGTGGTGATTGCACTGTTCTGCACTATTCCCCTACTGAGCCTTTGATGTGGGAATCTATTTTATTCATTTTTGAATCCCTAGCATAGATCGAACGTCTTTACATAAAGTGCTCAATAGCTGTTTAACTGAAGTTGAAAATTTAAGGTGCTTTCCAAACATGGGGGTTATTCTGAGACCTACCCCTCAAGCAGGCGGAGCTTCCAAGTCCCCTATGGCCAAGATTGAGGGGAGGGATGGGAACCAGGCCTTTGGGCACACGAAGCCTGAGTGTTGCTGTCGGCCTGGCCCTGGCCCAGGTCCATGGCTACAGATCGGAGGCCAGTCCCTGGCTCAAGGAGGTCACTCGTGGCCCCTGCTTATGGGAGGCTGCCCACAGTTACTGCTGGATGACTCACGGGAATCCTACTCCAGACCAACATCAGAGCTCCTGGCCTGGCTGGCATTGGGATCTTGGTCACTGATGGTAGGTGACCCCTGAGGTTCTTCTAACTCTGGGCTCAGTGACTGTCCTCTCTCCACACTTACTGTGCACTCGGATCACAGCTTCCAGAGAACGGATGGCATTGAGGTTGGGTTTTTGTTTCCAGCCTTCTTCTGAAAGGGGATCCACCTAAAGAAAATAGTACATCAGCCCCCAGTCTCTCACGGACCCACAGGCCCAGCTCTCTCACCCCGAGGGCCCTGGCCTTCTGGGCACAAGCAGGCATGTGCTGCTGCCCTGCCTAGGTCCGGAGATGCTGGCCCTACACCCAACCTGGGGAGAGGCATCCACTCTGCCCATCTCATTCCACGCCTGGCCAGCCCTGCCCTATCCCATCCCATCTGCCAGCACGTAGGGACACTCCTGGGCATGGATGGGGTGGGGGGCAGCTCACCTTGTTGCCCAGAAGAGCAGCCACACAGGCCTCGGAGGCGTCACAGATGGCCGTGAGGTCATGGCCACCCTCCAAGGCCAGCACCACTGCACCTCCTGCCAGGCTCATCAGCTGCTGTGTCATGTACCCAAAACCTGGATGGTTGGTTTGGAGACAGGAGGGGGCGGAGTGGAGGAGGGGTAGACCCGTTTTCCTCCTCTGTTGTTTCCCTGCTTGCTTCCTCTTGCATAGGGGGTGGCTCAAAAGCATCAGTCCCTAGTCTCCCAAGTGCCTTCACGATGAATGCCATGCAAAACCTGCTTATACGCATCCTGCAGGCTGAGAGCGGTGAGGGGACTTGCGTAAGGTCCTGCAGCTAGTAAGCCGCAGGACTAGGATTTGAACTTCAGCCTGTGTCTTTCTCATTGGGCCACTCTATCTCCTCTTTCTGTTCCCCAGGCCATGTGGCCCAGTGGGCTGAGTGGGCGCCCTCCATTCTGAGAACACTGTTGCTCCCTGTTCTCCCTGTGGAGAAGCTGCCAACCCAGCCTGGAAGCGACACAGTTGGGGTGGGGAGTCCTATGGCTGAGCTTAAGTCCCCAGGGCTCTGGCCTGGTCAAGCCCTCCATGGGGAACCGGCCTGGGTTGTGCTGGAGATCACAGGGCATTCTAGGACTCACTGCCGGGCTCCTCCCCTCACTCTCACAGCCCCGAGCCAGCTACGGCCGCCTTCCCCTTCAGACTTGGGCAGTACCTCCCACCTCTACAACCTGGCTCTCATTCCCTACACCTCCCCCTCAGCTGGGATCCCCTTACATTTGGCGGAAACATGGTAGCCACCTAGAGGGGCTGGGTGACCCTCGGCAGCATCAAACCCAGCTGACACCAGGACCAGGTCTGGAGAGAACTCTCGGGCGATGGGCATCACGACTATCCTGTGAGGTTGCAGGGAAGACAGGGTGGTCACCACACTGGACAGGGCTGCCAGGGGCAGAGGCCATGGCCCCTGACTGTGACAGCCCTCTCCTGCCAGCTTTGCTGTGGGGCACCCACTTTTGAGACACCGAGTCCCCCAATCTCCCAGCAGGATTAGCAGATCCCTCTGGCCTCTTTGACCTTGGCTGGCCACACACATTCCTGGCACATATAGCTTGAGAACTCAGCCACCCAAGGCTCTTAACTAGCAAGAAGCAGAAAGGAGCCAAGGATGGGACACCAGAGAGAATGAAAGAGGTAGAGAGAAAGGGTGTGTGTGTATCCAGGTGTGTGTGTGTGTGTGTGTGTGTGTGTGTGTGTGTGTGTGCGTGCGTGCGCATGTCTGTGCACATGTGTGCATGTGTATGTGCATGTATCCAGGGGATACAGTGGGCAGGGCCACAGGGAAGGGGCAATTTCACAGCTGGCCGAGATGGGCTCTGGTCACGAAGCCTCTGCGATGGGAAATGCTTGGCACTTTGTTTTGTTTCATTTTATTTAAGATAATTTAGTATACATACATGTGGGTACAATGTTGATTTTCAACAGTTGTGACAATGTGTGATGGTTAGATCAGGATAGTTAGCTTATTCATCACTACAATATGAATGCTTGGCATTTTGTTTTGTTTTTTTTTTTTCCCTTTTCTTTGTCTTTTTTCGTGACCAGCAACGGATCGCAACCCTCAGCGTCGCGCCCGTACCGGGCCGGGACCGGCAACGGGATCACAACCCTCGGTGTTGCTCCTGCACCTCACTCAGCAAGTGAGCGGCCGGTCTGTATGTGGGATCCGAACCCTCGGTGGGAGCGCCGCCGCACTCCCAAGCGGTGCACTGTAGCAGTGCGCCACCGGGCCGGCCCCGAATGCTTGGCATTTTGGACTGAGTTAACTATACCCCACCATTTGCACCTGAGAGCTAACCAAGGCAAACAGACCCTCTGGGGTCCTGGACCACCTAGCTCCGTTCTTTTATCTTCTCTCCCTGCCATCGCCACACGGCCCCCGTCCAGCCCTGACCCAACTCTGGAGTCCATTTTGGTGTTCTCCAAAGCCCTGGGCTCTGGGCACAGAAACCAGGAACTCCAGCCTAGGGAATCCTGTAGAATTACCTCTCATGGAGAATATCTCCAAAAGAGTATTTGGAGATCTACTTCCAGGGTCTCTTTTCCCAAATGGAGTACAGGGACCCCAGAGTGAAATATATAAGGGCTCCTGAACAGAGTCTGAAACCCCTCTTCCAGAATGGCTTTTCATAAGTAACTCCCCTAATATGGACATCATCTGCTTTCTCTCTTCCTCCACAATTTAAGTTTCTCCTCCCTTGCTCAATGCTCACCTCCTCCAGGCAGCCTTCTGTGTCTAAGGGTGGCAGCTCTCTCACTGTACCCTGCTGGTCTCCCAGCACTAGGTTCAACATTGGCTCTTGGTAATGTGTGACTTAAAAAAGCACCCTTTGATGCTTTCATTCTCGAGTGTATCCTGTCTTCCCACCAGGGTTGGCCTACAATGTCTAGCAACCGGGTGGGGACAGGCTGATAAGCTAACTGATCACCTCCAACCTGGTGCTGTTGGGAAAAGGGGCAGGGGAGGGCGGCCTTGCTGGGCTGGGAGCACTTACCTGAAGGCGGCCAGGTACTCAGGATCCCCCATGGGAGGGTCCAGACCTCCAGCCCAGGCCACATTGACGTTGAAGCCCTCACCGCTGCCAGCCCCCACCTGAAAAGAGGACACAAAAGAGACATGAGGAGAGAAGAGCATCCCAGATGCTAGTGCTGCAAGACCAGCTCGTCAGCCTTTTCACTTCCAGATGGAGCAAGTGAGGATCAGAGAGCCTAAACAATCTGCCCAGGGTCACACAGCTTGTTCTGACAGAGGCAGAATAAGTGTCAGGAGAGTCAAGGGGGCTGGAAGACGTGGACCCCCCATGCAGTTACCTCATCCACAGCCCCACTGCCTGGGAAGAAGTTGCCATCATCATGGCGATGCAGGGAGATGTAGAGCACACTAGGGTCCTGGTAAAAGGTCTGCTGGGTGCCATTGCCATGGTGAACATCCTGTGCCAGGAGATGGGCAGTGGATTAGGGAAGGTCCAAAAGCAGAAAGATGGAGGGCAGGACAGGTTAGAAGGGTTCCAAGAATGGAGAGTCAGGACCCTGGACTAGGAGTCAGGAAACTGGGGTTCCTACAGCCACGTGGTTGAGTGGCCCCAAGTAATCCACTGCCTGACGCTGAGTCTCAGTCTCTCCATATGGAGAGACTTTCTCTCTTTCTATATATACATATGTCCTACATTTGTTGATGTCTCTTTCTCTCTCTCTCCAAATATATATGGAAAGATGGGGGTGGCTATACTGTGAACTGCTGAAAGAAAGAAGGCGTCCTCATCTCCAAGGAGGTGAGCCAAGGGCAGGCCAGCCCACATGAGAGAGCACGTGTGGGGGTGACCAGTGGCAGGGAGTGGGAGGCATCCAGGAATGCACACGTCAGGGACCCTCGCTACTGTGTCTTGCACAGTCATGAAGTGCTGCTGGTGATCAGAAACCAAGCTCAGTGGTAGAGGGGTGGGCACATGAGGCCCAGCCCAGCCCTCCTAGGAAGAGCCAGGCCCTGTACCTGACTCAGAGGACCATGCCTGGACTCAAGTGTACAAAGTTCTGCTTACGCTTGTCCCTGTCACAGCTGTCAAGTAAGAAAGGACATAGCTTGGTAGTTAAATGCATGTGCTCTAATGCTAACTGGCCTGGGTTCGAATCCCGGTCTCATGACTTGAGAGGTGAGTGACTACACGACTTAATCTGTGTGCTCACTTTCCTCATCTGTAAAATAGGTTATTAAACACAGTCAGGATTAAACACATCAGATATAAAACTGTCCATGTCTGAGTGTGATTAGTGGTGTACTGATATTATCTGTTACTATTGTTATTGTCACTTCCTGTAGGGGAAACGCACAGATTATTAGACCTGCCAGAAGAAGCCAATAGAGGTCAAAAAACAGCACTGAAATGAGAGCTGCCCACTGTGGGAGTTGGTTATGAATGAAGGCCTTCCCACACACCATCTCCTATGGGCCTCCCAACAGCCCTGTGATGCAGTGTTATCTTCACCCAAATTGTACACAAGTGGAAGCTGGGGCTCAGGGAGGCTGATGCAGGACTCAAACATGAAGCCACATCCCTGACACCGGGCTCAGTGCTTTTTCGACAGGGCTCTCGGATCTGAAGGTGCCAGGAACTGGGACCTACCCAGTCTACAACGAGGATCTTGCTGGCCTTGCCCTGCTGCTGCAGCTGCCGGCAGGCAATAGCCACCGAGTTGAAGAAGCAGAAGCCCCTGCAGAAGGAGAGAGAGGTCCCGCCAGCCCTCCCCATGCCCGCACCTCTCCAGCCCCTTCTCTCCACCAGCCCCTGGCTTGGCCCAGCCCCAGAAGGCTCAGGGGAGGGAGAGAGAATGTCACTACAAGAAGGCCCAGGGACCTGCCCCCCACCTCACTCCACCCAGGCTTCCCTCAGGCCTTACATGGCTGTGGAATGATCTGCATGGTGTCCTGGGGGCCGCACGATAGCAAAACCATTCTGGAGAGAGAAGGAATGCTTGTCAACCAACAACCAGCCCTCTGACCACATCTGCATTAACCTGTCCTCCAGCCCCAGCCTCCTTCTCTGAGAAGGGACCACAGGGCAAAAGCAGCCAGAGTGTCTGACTGTGTGCGTGCTGGAGCTGAAGTGGCCCAGTGCTAAGCCCCCGTTCTGCCTGTCCTCTGTTTTTAGGCTGGACAGAACCCCCCATCCTGGTGTGTCCTGGCTGTTATCACTTTGCAATCAAAACAGCTAGATTGTTAAGCAAAAGCGATGTGCCTGGCATTATGCTAAGCACTTTATTAGCACCATGTTCTAACCAACTGAGCTAACTGGTGACACTGTGCTAAGCACTTTGTAAATGCTAGATTTCATCCTCACAAGAACTCTGCGAGGTAAACCTTATCTATCCTTCACAGTATCTTCATAAGACAAACAATATCGGCTGGCCAGGTAGTTCATTTGGTTAGAGCTTGGTGTTATAACACCAAGGTCAAGGGTTCGGGTCCCTCTAGTGGCCAGCCACCAAAAAGTAAATAAACAAACAAACATTATTATTATTATTATCTCCTGTTTGCAGATGAGGAGAAATCTGAAGCTGAGTTGAGTTAAGCAACTTGTCCGAAGTTGCCTGACTGTAAATGGTGGAGCAAGGATTTTAAAACCAGGGCTGTGTTCTTAACTGCAAAGCTCTGCTAAGGAGCTCTGACTTTCAGGACACCATGACCACCTTGGGCTACAAGCTCATAGATGATGGGGGTGTGGGCCTCAGGACAAGTCTCTGTAAGTAACCAGCTCACAGGAAACAAGCCTAGGCACCAACCCGGTTGAAATCACTGCAAAACTAGAAAGAAGCATCTGGCCAGTGCATGCACAGAGGTCCAAAGACATGCTGCAACTCGTCTATGGCCACACAGCGGGTCTTAAATGGTCCTGGGTGTCTCTCAGAGACCCAAGATCCAGGGTCACGTGGCTTGGACCCCCACCTAGTAACATGAGCCTCAGGCTCAAATTTTACCCTGGTCCCCAGAGCCCTTGGATTTCCCTTCCAAAACCCTGTGGCAATATGTAAGAGGAACAAGATGTCTGGGTCTGAGCCTGGATTCCCAAGTGCCTCATCCTATTGCCTCCTCTGTGGCTTGCCTACCTTTAGCCCAAACCTCCTACCTTTAGCTCACGGGAAGCCACTTTGAAAGCAAGGTCAGTGACGCTGCCAGCAGCCCAGCGGGCTGCATTGGAGGAATGCAGCTCGTTCCAGATGGTGTCAGTATCCACCTGTGGGGGGCAGAGTCAGGGCCCGCATCATCTAAGGCTTCCCACAGGACCCAGGGCCCAGTGGAGTGGTCCCCACCCCACAGCCAGGACCCCAGGGCAGGGAGCTGGGCAGACAGCACTGCCTCCCCAGTTCCCCAGTGCCCCACCGCCCACAGGCAAGGCCTCCTGTGTCCCCCAATCCCAGCATGGCTTCTCCTTCCCAGCTGAAGTCCCAGCACCAGCCCATATCTGACCAGCACTCTGCCAGCAGCATCACGCCAGCCTCCCCGGTCAGGGGAGGGGGCATGGCGTTACCTGGGCGGGACTTGGGGTTTGGGCCGGGAGGAGGTTTTAAGCCCCAGCTGGCTCTGCTCAGGCCCTGCGGGACGGTCGGAGCTGGAGGGGCCGTCTGCACCACTGTCTTCCACTCAGGGCCCCTAGCCCAGGCTGGGGGGCCCCCCAAACCCAATCCCTGGGCCTCAAGGCTAGGGAGGGGCCGGGGGGCATGATGGGGAGATGGGGAGGGCGAGGCGAACCGAGAGAGGCGAGGAAGGCAGAGAGAGTCGCGAGAGGCTGGAGAGAGGGAGAGAGAGAGAGAGAAAGACAGAGAGGGAGAGGAGGGAGGAGAAAACAGAAGCAACAACAGTTGGAAAATCAGAAAGTGGCAAGAAATGGGAAGTTGTGAATGGGGCACTGACTGGCTCCCAGACAGCCCCCCACCAGCTACAGCTCCCACTTCCCTCTAGAAAGAAGCCACGGTCCCCTGCCTCCACGCACTTTCCTAGAGAAACCACTGCAGGGATCTTTTTAGGCAAGAACAGTGCTAGAGGAGGCAGAAAGCCCCCTACATGGAGAGTGAGGAGGCAAGGCTGGGGGACGGGAGGGCTGTGTCCTGGGGTGCGGCAGTGCCTGGACCTCTGAGGACAGCGGAAGCACCAGCACAGCCCTGGACCAGGCGGTCCACTCCAGGGCAGGCAGAGCAGCCTGGAGGCTGGCGTGGAACGGCCAGTACCTGACACTGGGTCTTATGAAGGCCCAATCTTGGCCTTGCTCCTTGAGCCTCACTCAGCACCTACCCAACACCTCTGAGTGGGAGGCACTGGCTCCACACTCGGGAGACACTGCTGGGTCCAGGACACACCTGCCCCAGGAGCTACCAGCCAGCATGGGGCATGGTGGGAGAGTCCCTGGCCCACGGGGTCTGGCAGAACCACAAGGACGAGCAGGCAGGGGCAGGGCCTGGGAGCACCAAGGGAGGACATCCAAGACCCCTGGGCACACTTACCCCAACCCCACCACAGGGAAGCATCACAAACATCCGCTGTGCCAGGAGCCCTGTGGGGAAAAGCCTCGCTGTGTGAGGGTGACTGCGACTGCTCCCAGCCTTGGCCGGGATGGGCCGGGGGCAGGGAGGCCCCCAAAGAGCGGGCTGGGAGCGTGGAGGGAGAGAGAGTGCAGGGAGAGGTGGAAGTGGCAGCAGAGGGACCAGAGCCACAGGCTGGCGGGGGATGTCCAGGAGGCTGGAGGAGGGCTGGCTGGGCGGCGCCAAGACGAGAGCACACAGCAGCTGGGCAACTGGCTGAGCCGGGGAGGTCTGGGGCCCAGTACCACCAAGCCCCTACCTGCCAACTTCCCATTGTCCAGTTTGAGACGGCTGAGAGGGTTGGTGCCATAGAGGAGCACGTGCCGCTCACAGTGGACCGACTGCAGCTCCTCCAGGGAGGCCTTCCGGCCCCGGAGACACTGAGGAAGGGCCCAGAGAGATCCTAAGCCCTCGCTTGCCCCTTCTCTCCAAGTACTACCACCCGTCTGCCCCAGCGCCTCCCACCACTCCCTCACATTATCCTCATCTTCTCTGATCCCGCTGCCCCCACCCTCACCCCTCACCTCACACTGGCCCCGGAGCCCCCGCTCCTGCAGCCGGGACCAGATGCTCTGGATACGGCCAGCATGCTCTGGGTGTCTGCTGTTGTCTCCGCAGGAGCACTGGTGCTTCAGCATCACCGAGTCATAAACCAGCCCTGCCAGGAACAGGGGTCAGGGCCAGAACCCCAGGGAGCCCCAACCCCAGGCCATGGCTGCAGACAAAGAACACAGGGGCCAGCACCCCCGCAAAGCCAGGCACACACACACACCCCTCACACCTACATGGCTCTCATTCCCCATCCTGCCCCAGCCCTTTAAACTCAGATGCTTGCCCAGGTAGCCTCAGATAACCCATACACACCCTAATGCAGCACCAGTCAACACTGCCTTCCTAACACACTAATGCGGCTCTCAGGGCCCCATGCACACATGCCCAGAGCCTGAGCACACGAGGACTAACGCTGAGTGACTCACACTAGGGGTCAGGAGTCCTAAGAGGCTTCCAAGGGGGAGCTAGAGGAGAAAAAATTCTGAAGAAACCCCAAAACTGAGAGCTGGGAAGCCCAGAATGACGCCAGGTTATGTGATAAGACAAATACAGTTTTGGAGACGTTGACTCTTTCAGTCTGACCCACGGAAGCCTCTAGAGGAGGACCCTGCCCATTGCTGGTGGGGGTCAATTTCTGAACATTTCAGGACACTAAGGACCTTCAAATTGCTCACACCCTTTGGTCCAAGAATGTCACTCCTTAAAAGTGAACCTTGGGAAATAATCCCAAGCATGAGTAAAGATTTATGCATAAGGAAATTAAAATGAGTAATAATCAAAACATCCTAACAAAAAAGGAATCACTAAATTAAAAAAAAAAAAAAAAGAATACTATGATGAAACACTATGAGGCTCATAACACGTTAATTAAATAAACCTGGGTACAAAATGTAGGTAGTGTGTTTATGGCATTTGTACATGTACATATGGCTAGAACAAAGACTAGATTGAAATATTATAGAATTTAAGAGGGGTTACATCAGGGGGTGGGATAGTGAGTTGGTATTTTTATTTTATTTTTATGCTTTTGTATTTTTCAAAATTTCTAAAATAGTTTGGGGATCTTTTTACAAGCAGAACAATAGTAATAAATGTCATTTTTAAAAAGGGCTGAATGTGTCAGCCGAACACTAGAATTCTTATCCTGGCCTGACAGCCAGCTTGCTATTTGATCGCTGCTTATCTCGTTAGATTTCCTGAGCCTGACTCTCCTCACCTGTAAAACAGAATAACCACCTGCTCCACCTGCTTCTTGGGGTGCTATGTGCATCTAACAAGACTAAGTGCTCTGTGGCCTCTAAAATGTCCCAAGTGACACCATGACACGGACATCGACTCATGCCCCGAACCCTTTCTTCCTGCCTCCACTCTAATCCTGGTCTTACCTGTGGTGAAGGGCAGGGGCCTGGCAGAGGTCTCTGAGCTGGAGAGGACACGGGCCTGGTTGGCAGGCTCTGGGGGTGGCAGTGAGGCAGGCGCGGCCGGGGAAGACTGAGCCCTGGACAGGGGCCGGTGTCCACCGTGGGCCAGAGGGAGCAGCACAGAGTCCCCAGTGCTTCCCCGGGGAAGGCGCGCGGCCAGTGGCTGCTGTTCCCAGAGCAACACCTGAGGGGAACAAGGGGCCTCAGTTTCCAGTTTCTCAGGCTCTGCTCCATGTGCTTCTGCCAAGGCAGAGGTTCTGGAGAGATTCTAGGATGCACCTAGCCCTGCCTCCCAGCTGGGCTCTGTCTTTTGACTCGCGGAGCCCCCTGCCCCCAGCTACCCCCTTGTGGACCTGCTCCCCAGACTGACCACCCAGTTCCACCAGAGCTCCCTGGGCCCTCAGGACTCCAAAGCCAGAACCCAGGTGGGAGACCTTGGATCCAGCTCTGACCAGAATCTCCTGGTCTTCAAGGACTGTGCAACTGCCAAGGGACCCAGGGACCTGCACGAGCCATTGCACACGTGTGAACTATTCCCTTGTGTCCTAATTCCCAGTTCCTTGGAATGTGACCTTATTTGGAGACAGGATCTTTATAGATAGAGGTAATCAAGTTAAAATGAGGTGATTAGGGTGGGCCTTTATATGACTGTTGTCCTTTTAAAAAGAGGAAATTTGAACACTGCCATGGACAGAGGGAAGACACGATGAAGACAACCATCTTCTAGCCAAGGAGAGAGGCCTGGAACAGCTCCCTCACCACAGCCCTCAGAAGGAACCAAGCCTGCCAAAGCCTTGATTTCGAACTTCTAGACTCCAGAACTGTGAGATGATACATTTTTTGTTTAAGTACTGCCAGTGTGCAGTACTTGTTGCAGCAGGCCTAGCCAACGACTACCCCGTGGCTTGACTCACACAGTAAGAGCATTCTGGTTGAAGGGCTCGAGCCTGGCTCCGTCCCGCCTCTTACCCTAGCCACCCCCTGGGATACAGTACAGCCAGTTGCAGGGGAGATGTACCATGGCACCAGTGTGTACGGCTCCATGAAAGGCCAGCCTCAGGGCTGGGAAAGGAACAAGGTTCACCCTGAGACTGGCAGGCTGCTGGAGTGTGTGTGGGTGTGGATATGTGCACCCATACCTTGGTGTGGCTGCAGCACTGTATCTGGTGAGGCAACTATGGGTCCCAAAGTTGTCCCTTGCGTTGATATCATATCTCCTCCCTTGCCCATCTTCTGCCAGACCCTAGGGTCTCCTGACTGCCCTTCCCGAGGAGCACCTGGGCACTGCCATACCTGTTGGTGCTGGTGGAGAGGAATAGGGCCTCTGGCCTCCAGCTGCCCATGGCTGGGCTCCCTGTGCTCCAGGCCGTCATCTATCACCTGCCCCACTGCCCCGCCATCCACCTCCAGGTCCTCAGCCGAGGGTATCTGCTGCAGTCGGGGCTTCTCACTTGGCTTGGCTGGCCTCTGGGAGGGGAGATGCCTGGCTGAGAAGCCACGGTGCAGCAAGGGGTGTGGAGCAGGAGGCAGTGGGTGGGTTGGGCTAGCAGTCACTCATCTTACTAGGACTCCAGCTGCCACATCCTCTCTCCTGCTCTCTAGGTCCCTGCCCTTCCTAAGTCCCCCCACCTTCTTTCAGCCCTAGGGGCCCAGTTAAGCACCCCCTCAGCACCTCCCCTACCCAGGTCCTCTCACCTTGATCAGCTGGACATGAGGTTTGAGCCGCTCCAGGCGGGGCTGCAGGGGACCCACCAGTGGGGGGGCTGTGGTGCTGGGGGGCAGGGGTTCTGAACGGGTCCGGCTCAGTGGCCGGTGGAGGCCTGACCCGGAGAGCCGCTCGGTGGTCAGTAAGGACTGGGCAAAGTGGAAGGGCAGGGGCCCAAGCCCAGGCACTGGAAAGAATGGGGTGGAGGGACATAAGGAGAGAACCAGAAGGAGCAATGGAAGGACAAAGGGGCTGGGGCAGAGGTCAGCAGGGGGGCGCAGGACAAGAGATGGAGAGAGGCAGGGAGGATGGGGCCCTTCCCAAGCTTGGCCGCCCTCCACAGGGCACAGGGATCCAGCCCCTTCCCAGGAGAAGCAGTGGAACTCACCAGTCAGTAGGGGGGTGTGAGAGACTGAGGGATCCAGGAGGAGAATGGGCTGCAGGCGAGAAGGCAAGGAGCCCCCAGCCTCGGGCTCCAGGCCATGGGGCAGAAAGAGGGGAGTGTGGGGGCCCCCCAGGACCGGTCCCCGAGGGCCCAGAGTTGGATGAGTCCTGCGGTCACCATCAGCCTGGGGGAGAGGTGGGAGAAGTCACAGAGGAGAAGACCAAAGCAGAGAACAGTGCAGGTGACAGGTGAGGTGGTAGGAAAGGGAGTGAAAGAAGCTGGGGAGCGTGGAGTGGGAGAGGGCACCCCAGCCACTCACCCTGGCAGGGGCAGGCAGCCCCAGTGTGATTGCGGGCAGCAAGGACACTGTCGGCAAGGCGAACGGGGCCAGAGAAGTCTCCTGCAGCCGCAGCCGCTGGCCCAAGAGCGCCTGCCATGGGGAGCAGGGCAAGGGGTCACCGGCCCCAGACCTCTACCCCTGGCATGCCTTCCCCAGTATACCCTGCAGGCTCTGGTGGGGCTGCCCAGACCCTGCAGCCCTAGCCTGGGAGGGCAGCTGGCCAGAAGAAGGCTGAGTCTCAGAACCACCGCAGGAGAGCCCATTCCTGGTAAAACCTTACCTCTGAGCCCAGAACAGGGTTGGGGCCATGCTCGCTGTCATTGGGGGAGCTGCACCCTGACGCAGGTGTGCTGCTACTACTTGGGGAGGAGTCTGAGGGTTGTAGAGAAAGGAGAGCGCAGTTAGAGGCCAGGGTGGGCAGGAAGGTATGTCCAGGCCCCCTGGTGCAGGAGACCTGGGAGCAACCTCTTCCATAATGGGAGGCTTCTGCTTCCTGCTTTCTTCCCTGAAGAGCAGGGAAAAGGCCTATAGCACCTTTGGGCAATTTTTTTAAAGGTGCCCCCTTTTCTGGGCAGATGTCACCTTAGCCAACAGAGCAGCAGGTGGGTTTCAGCCCAACTCATCCCCCTGCAAGTGTGTATGTAGGACACTCCCTATACAACCACGCATGGTGGCCCTAAAGAGAGAAGCCCCTCTGGGTAGGACCTGACCTAAAGGGACAAGCCCAGCCAGGTTTGAGGATGGCACCCCCACCCACCCGCTGGCCCTCACCTCCAAGGGTCTCTGCAGGCCGCCGGCGGAGGCTGGGCGGGGCGCTCTCCTTTCTGAGCAGTGGATTCTTCCTCCGCTCCAGAGACTTCTTGGGCTTGTAGCGCAGCTTCAGGTTGGGCTCAGAGACTGTGGGGAGCAGCAATGTTACTCAGGCCCCCACACCACCCTCCTCTTCTCTGCCCTTTAGCCCCTTACTACCAATCACCTCTGTGGATTAAGGCAAGAGATGAGAGAGAACCACGGCATGCTGACTGTCCCCCTCGCCTGGCCTTCCCACCCCTCCACACTTCTGACCTGTGTCTAAGGCCCTTCCCTCTTGATTCCTCTAGAGGGTCCTGCATGTCTGTCCAGCTCACCTGTCTTACGCAGGGGGAAGTGTTCTGGGGGGTCACTGGGCAGGCTGGGAACAGGAGGCAGAAAGCTGCTGAGCATGGAGCGGGCAGCTCCTTCTGTCTCCAAGGGCTCGAGAGTTCTGTAGAGTGAATGCCAAGGTTGCTTCAGAAGTGTGGGGATGCCCACACCCAGCAGTGGTCTCATTCCATACAGGCACCTTCCTGAGCATGGGCCCTGGGACCTGCTAGGGAGGCAGCAGCGGACAGGGTGGGCAGTGTGGGGCTGGCTCCAGGGGGCGGCAGCAGGACACTCATCCTCCCAGCAGCCACAGTGTGGATCTCTGATCTAGGCATAGAAGCCAGGGTCTGTGTGTGTGGGCAAGGGGCCCACTTGGGATTCTGTCTCCTTTGTTAGACACCTGCTCTATGGACTAGGATATTTTTGTGCTTAGGGGAAGATATAAAGAGAAGAGACTCATGAGTACAAGAAGAAAGCGCGCGCGCGCGTGCGTGCGTGCATGCGTGCGTGCGTGCTTGTGCTTAGGGGAAGATATAAAGAGAAGAGACTCATGAGTACAAGAAGAAAGCGCGCGCGCGTGCGTGCGTGCGTGTGTGTGTGTGTGTGTGTGTGTGTAGGAAGGGCCTAGGGTAGAGAAAGAATTAAAAGAGAGAAGAGGGCAGGTATCAGCTGATGGGCAGCTAGGGAGAAAGGGGACAAGTGAGCGTGTGCTCACAAGTTAATGTACAGGGAGGAGGGGCATGGAAGGAACACGAGGGAGCGAGTGGGGAGAGTGGGTTACCTGTAGGGAATGCTGGCGCTGTTGGGATGGACCGTCCTCTCTAGGGCTGCCTGCTGTTTCTTCAGAATCACCTCTGCCAGCTTCTGCTTGACCACACTGCTGGCTACAGCACCTGTAGGGGTGGAGAGTCGTGAGTGGGCCAGGAGTGGGTGGACAAGTGGCCTCCCTGGCACATTCTCTGCCTATTGTCCTGTCCACACCTCCAGTACAAGGCCTCCTAGGGACTCCTCAAGCAAGAGCCAAGCCTGAGGTCCCACCCCTTCTGTGAAGCCTCCAGATACAACGCCCCCCCACCCCAACATACGATCATAGGCAGGGCCCAGCAAGCAGAAGGCGACAGGGGCTGGGGTCCCAGCTGACTGTGACCCTCCCGCCTCACCCCTCACAGGCCCACACTGGGGGCCCTGCACACCCAGGCTGGGGCTGGGGTCCTCCCTCCTTACTTCGCTTGCTCTTGTCCTTGTGGAGAAGCTGCCGCAGCTCTTGCTCCTGCTGCCCCACCTTCAACTCGGGCATCGGTGTGTCCATTGAGAGCTGTAGGCAGGGTGGCAGCCCAGGGAGGGGCAGGACAATGAGAACCGAGCCTGGGGTCCAGGGGAGCTGGAACGAGGGGGAATGGGGGACGAGCTCAAGGCTGCCGGGGTGGGGGAGCTGTGTCCTCACCCTCATGGGTTCTGCTGTGCGCTGCTGCTGCAGGCTTGCCAGGAAGAGGTGGGGGTGCAGGCGCTGGGGGTGCTGCAGGGCCAGCAGCGAGGGCTCCGGTGGGGGCTCCACTGTGGGCCGCTGGCCCACTCGCAGGTCCATGGGCTGGGGCTGAGGGCCTGGCGTGTCTGCACGGGGTATGGAACAGCCTGGGGACGTAAAGAGAGGGCAGGGTTGCAGGAAAGTTTGTCTGCAGGGGAGTGGTTACAGCCTCATCAGCCTGCTGCAGGCTCACTTAACAATGGCAAAACACCCTCAAGCGGTCTTCCCTCACTTAATCCTCACTATGGTCCTGCAAAGTAGGTATTATCAATTCCATTTGACCCATGAGAAAGAGGTCACACAAACTGCATGCAGTTACACCCTGTCACTAGAGACATTTGAAGTGAGCCTCCTGACCCCAAGCACAGTGCTTTTCCACTAAATATGTACCCCCAGACCTGGGGCCAAGGGCTATGGGGATTTACTGAGGGACAGCTGCCCCTCTAGTGGTTCCTTCTGGGCCTGTCCTTTCCTTCCCTTCATCCCCCCGGAATGACAGGATGTGGCTGGCCGCTCTCTAATGAGCTGGACTCTGCAGGCAGCGGTTGAGGAGGCAAGCAGGCCCACTCTCTTCAGCCTCCAGCTCCAAAGGGCTTCACGGGCACTCTCAGACACCACCCTCCCACACTCTATCCCAGGTCATGGGACGAAGAAGTGATGCCTCAAGCCCATGCCACTCCTGGCCAGCCACCCTGAGCCTACAGAGTCCTGCTCCCAGGCAGGTTCTTCAGCTCCCCGGGCCCACGTGTTCATGGCGCCCACTCCTGGGTGCCCTTCTCGCCAGCTCTGGGCCTGGCATGGTGAGGACAGCAGGCTCAGCTGCTTCTCCGCGAGAGTCCCGTGCACCCACACCAGAAGCACCCTGCCAAGGCTGTGGGTGCAGGGGCTATTTATAACTGGCCACCAGATCAGGGCTACACCAGCACAGCCAGCTGGGCCAGGCTGGGCTGAGCAGCCGGAAACACTGAGATGTGCAGAGGTAGAGCTGCTGCAGGGGGATTATTCTGGAGAAAGAGGAGCGGGTGGGGGGTGGGAGCATGCTGGCCTCACGACAGGGCACACAGTGGAGAAACCTTCCCAGAGGGCCTCCTTCAGCAATTTCAATGTGGGCATCCCCCAGGGGGGCAGCCACAGGCCATCCTCTGGGCCTGGGGCTAGGCAGGACTGGAAAGGCATTGTGGCAAAGAACCAGTCAGGGATCCTGGAAATGCAGCCTCCAGGCCCAACCCAACCACTGGTAATCAGTCTTTACATCTGTAGCACACACGCACAAGTGTCTGAAAAACCCCTTCACCTCATCACCCCCATCCACTCTGGAAGGGTAGTTACTACTGTCCCCTCATCCCAAATGAGGAAACTGATGCTCAAAGATGAAGGGCCCTATCCAAAGTCACCCAGCTAGGGGCAGAGTTAGCATAGCTTCTTCCAAGGCCAGTGCCCCGTATTGTCACCAACTTCCAGGAAGTCATCTCCCCTTGAGGGGGTTTCTCACTGGGCAGAGAAAGAGGGGCTTGCAGCAGGTTGTCACTTAAGGGGATTTGCTCTAACACTATGAGATGGACACAAAAGAGGAGCTGAGTGAGGGGGTGCCCACCATGACCCTCCGGACATCAAGAGATCTGGAGGGATGATGGTGCACCCTGACATGGCCCACAGCAGACAGTGCATGGCTTGGATGCCCCTGCCCATTGTTCATGTGGCCACATAAGATTTTCATTCTGGTGGAGTCTGGGCCTCCGGCGCCAACACACCCCTGCCCAGCATACGTCTCAGTCCTCCCACGTTCTGGTGTCCTGGCTTCCTGGGGTGACTCCCCTGATGATGCAAGAGGGGCTTCAGCCACACACAGACTGTGAGCAGCCCCCAAGCAGAAGAGAGAGCAGAAGGCTGTAGGAATGAAGAAAGGTCTCTGCCTGGAATCCTGGGTGCTTTAGCATTTGGGGGCCTTCACAGTCTGCTCCTAACCCCCTTCTCTCAACTTGGTGTCCTACATCTGAACAGAAACACTCCTCGTCAGCCATCAGCTTCCACCCTGTCATGAGCCCATGTATCTCTTGTCCTCTGAGATTTTGCTCACTGTGGCCCCCTGCCCATGCTGTCTTTACTCCTAACATTCTATTTTTCCAAATCCTACTCTTTGCTCAAAGCCCAGTGGGGAGTTTCCCCTCTTCCCGGGACCCAGCCCTGTGCTCCGCATCCCTCCCTCTTCTGGACCTCAGTCATGTTGGCTGTTGCATGGCACAATAAGCACTTTGTGGGCAGGTACCAGGTCTGAGTTAAGCTCCATAGGTTAGGGGCTTGGTTTTGTCCACTGCTCATTGCCCCCAGCTCCTGGAAGAGTAGCTGGCACAGGATAGGCACTCAATAAACATAGAGTCAATAAATAAATCTCTGTGTGCCTCCTAAAATGCCTAGGAAGGTGCCCTGGCTCAGAGACAGGGTTCATTAACAATTCTTTTGCTGTTGTTTTTTTTTTTTTTTTGACACTGGCTGGTAAACAGATCCAAACCCTTGACCTTGGTGTTACTAGCACCATGCTCTCCAAGGGAGCTAACCAGCCAACCCCATTAACGGTTCATAAACAAATGGATAAACTCATTAATCCATTGTTCTCTCATGTAGCACTGGTCACATGTTGCATTCTACTATTTTTTCTCCTTTGTGTGTTCTGTCTCCCCAGTTTGGCTGTAAGCTTTTGGACAGCCAGGACTGAAGCAAAGATACCTGGCCTTCCATTTTTCCCTGCCACACGGAATTATTAGGCATCAGGCTGTGTATCTTGCACTTAGTAAGCCCTCGGTGGATACCAGTGGAAGTTAAGGAAGAGGGGCTGCCTAGCCCCATGGGCATGTCCTAAACCAAAGCAGCCAGTGGGAAGTCCACACCACTCCTTCCCCAAGCAGCCCAACAGCAGAGAAGGCTTGGGCCAGCAGGGGGAGGAGGCAAGCAACGAAGAGAGAACCACCTCACCAAGGGGAGGGGCCCTTCCCCTCCCACCTGAGCAGCAGGAGGCATCTGTCCACCCTGCAAGGGCTGCCACGCCCACCTTGCAGGGGCAGGGACGGACTGAAGGAGTTAACCAACAAGAACACACTCGCCCAGTTCCTGACGTGGGGCAGGGGTCTGAGTGTAAACATTAGCTTCCTACCTTCCTTCCCATTCCACTACACCCAGCAAGGACAGGAGCATCCTGTCTTTCCTTTTCCTGTTGTGCTTCCTAGCCCTGGGGCCAGCCTGGATCCAGAGCTGCATCTCTTCACCCCACTCCTCACCCCTTCCCCACGGAACCCCAACTTCGCCCCTTCTCCTGGAACCCCAACCTCCCAAGTCTCTGGCCCATCAGCCAGCTACCCTGCTTCTCCAACCACTCAGCTTCTCACCCTTTTTACATCCCTTCCATCGCTCATCTTCCACTCCCCACCACAGTCACCCTCAGACCTGACTCTTACCTGTGTCAGGGGAACTGGGACAGTGGGCACCTGGGCTCACCTGGGTCCCATCTGTAGAGAGAAGAGAGATGGAGTGAAGGGGCTGCAGGGAGGGGGCGCAGAGAGGACTGAGGGCCAAGCCAGGCAGGCTCGCTGCCTCACCAAAACTTGGGGCCCCCAGCAGAAGCTAACCCAAAAGACCCCACGGCCCTTTCCTTTCCTCCAATTCCCATGCTGGTTCTTCCTCATCCAACTCAGACATCTTGCTGCTTGAGCTCAATCCACAGCAAGAAGCCGAGGCAGCCCCAGCTCAGCCAGCAGTGCCCTCAGCCCTCCCTGATGGTCAGATACAATCTTCCCTGGGCAGCCAAACCAGGCTCCCACAGCCTGAAGGGAAAGAGCGCTGGGAGGTGAGGTGGGGCCAGAGGCAGGACAGTGGGCTGGGGAGGCCAGGAGGGAGATGGGAGGAGCAGGCCTGGGGGGAAGGGGGCGGGCACTCAGGCTTCCCCAGAGGGAGGAGAAAGGAGCAAGAGGGGACAGGAGAGGTTTCCACAGTCAGGGAAGGATGGGGTCATGGCCTGAAGGTCAGGTCTGATCTGGAGGGAGCTGTGAAGGGGGGGTGCACAGCCTGAGGACTCCGCTCTGGGGACCCCATTCCTCCTACTGCCCCATGCTGTATCCTGTTGCCTCTGTTCCCCCCGAGTAGAGACCTGATCAGCCCCTTTCTCAGAGAACATGAGATAGAAATCTTTCCATTTAGACATGGCCATGTCTGTCAGGCTCCTAAGCCCAGCTCTGGCTCTCCTATCCTGTTCAGAACCCAGGAAACCCTACAGTGGGGCCCTGAAATGGTCAGCAGCAGAAGGATCCCGGGAATCCAGAGGCTGGCAGGGGCAGGAAAAGATAGAAGTGAGTCCCGAGGCCACCCGTCCAAGATGGACACATTTTCCTCTTGCCATCCCAGGTGAGGACCGAAGGGACAGGAGGTCAGGAGACTGGGAGGCCGCCTGGAGGGGACATCTGGGGGACACAGAAGCAACTCCTCAGGCCAGACTTGGGACAGAAGGGATATTTTCTGAAGGACAACTGGCGGGTACTGCTCTTTGGGTCTGCGTCTCAGGAGCAGCCACACTTCCTCTTCCAGGAGCTGAGAAAGGAGAACTCCCCTGCAGGCAGGGGCTACCGAGGTGGGGGGGGTGGGGGGCAGCTCTAGGCACAGGGAGACTCCCACCAAGGGTCCTAGCTCCCATGCTTCAATGACGAGGTGGCAGGGCAACAACGCTCCACCTGTTCAAATTCTGCCCAGCCTCTGAGGTCCAGCTCAAGCCCATCTCCTCGTGAGCTCACCCTGACCTCTCCTCTCCTCACTTCCCATTGCGCTGGCTCTGTGCCCATCCCCTCCACACCCCATTAATCATGATCTCCGTGGTGCCATGTGCAAACCATGCCATCTGCACCTAACGCCTTGCTGGGCACACACCAGGCGCTGGTAGTGACTGGTGAATCAAACACATTGTCTCTCTCCTGGCCACCACTTAAGACATATTTCTCAAGGTTTGTGAGCCCCAAGGAATAATCATGCCAGAGGCAGTCCCCACTCCCCAGGACACGGTAACCCCTATCCTGGGCTTTCTGAGGGCCTCCTCTTTCTTCTGCAGGACCTGGTCCCCCAAGAGAGGTTGCTGGACTGGGCTCCAGGGTGTACTCCCAGAGATACTATCAGGCCTAGAGTCCCCTGCCTCCTGGAATTCTCTCCCAGCTCCCCTAGGTCCCTGCTGGAGGGCTGGTCTGCAGCATTCATGCTTAGGAGAGAGCCAGGTTCTCTGTGCCTTGATCCCCTCGTAACCACAGATTCTGTATACCATGCAATCTTTGGATAGTAAAAAAATTAATGGCCCTGAACTCTGTGGTATTTGTTACCAGACCCAAAAGTGATGTTTTGTGGTGATGATCTATGACATAAACTCTGTTCAGAAAAGCTGCATGCATGCATGCATGTGTGCGTCTGTGCTGGCAACGAGGACTGCTCCCAAAAGGAATTCCTGGAAAAAGTTCTGCTCCCCCAACCCCCTGGCTCTGTGCTGAGGGCCACTGGGTTCAGAGGAGCCCAGAACAGCAGAGATAAGACTGGGAACAGCTCTCTCTATGTGTCCCAGTCAGTAGTTGAACTGAAACCAGAAAGTGAACATCTGTATCCCAGTTCCAGCTTGAATTTGGCAACCCCTCTTCTCACGAGCCCCTCACTGCCTCTCTCACAGGGCTGTCACCACTAATGTGGTGTCAGACTGAAATAAAATGAGCAGTAAATGGACCCGAGGGACTGAGAACATTGTCTCGGGCTGGACCCTTCTCCACAAAGCTCTCTGCCAGGTTGGAGGGTTCTCCTTTTTGGAATCCTGGCTACCCCCCATTTCTATTTTCTTTGGAAGCAACTGCAGTTAGGCTTAAGAAGCAGTTTACGTGGCGCTGAGGCACCTGGTCCCACCCAGAACCAGAGAGCCCCAGAAATCCTGCCCCAGTGGGTCCGCTGCAGCCCTCAGCAACCACTACAGTGGACACTTCTAGCCCCTAAGCACCTAGAACAAGCTGGTCTCCCCACCGCCCCTACTTTATTGCCCCAGGCCCCCGCCTTGGTCTTACCCACCCAGCAATGGTAACTTTGCCCCCCAGGCCTACACAAGGTGGCTAGAATCCTGAGCCCTGCCAACCACCTCCTCTGCCAGGGGCTTCAAGCCCTTTGTTGGGGAGAGGACTTCCCCCAGAAGCATTGCCACCCAGAAGTCCCCTCCCATTGTTCCCGATGTCCTTGCTGAGGCTGTTCCCACTCCCCATGCTCCTGACTAGCAAAAAGGAAGTAGCAGCAAGACCTGGGCCCTGGCGGCAAGAGCGGAATGAGCGGTGGCAGGAGGTCAGGTCCCGGGTTCAGGGATGACTCCCTCCGCATCCCAGGTTGCAGCCTCTGTTTCTCTTTCCCTGACACAGGAGGGACAAAGCTTGACTCTGCAAGGGGGCTGGCAGAGAAGACTAAAGCTGGGGGTGAAATGGCTTCAGGAAGATCCAAGAACAAATAAATAGGAGAAAAAGCATCGTGATTGCCAGGCCTCTCTGACACAGCCAGGGCTGAGCACCAAGGAACAGCTCTTCTCCCAGGTGTTCTGTTCACAGAATCTGAGAACATTGAGAGCTGATGGGACTTTAGAGATCGTTGAGGCCAATGCTCTCAGTTGGCAGAAGGAGAGAGAGAGGGGAAGGTGCTAGGCCACAGCCACCTAGTAGCCAGTGGGCCAGCTGGGCCAGGCCGGACCGGTGCAGGGGAAACCCAAGATGCCGATCCCAAAGCAGGTACTAACTCCCTCCATGGAGGGTGCTGATCTAGGGTCTAAAGTGATGGAAGTATCAATGAATCCTGGTTCTCACTTTCAAGGAGTTTAAAATGCAGCCCACAGTCTTGACAAATTTTTTTTAAAGTATACTACTTGCAGATACTAAAAAAATTCAAAGAGCCCCCCAACAAAGTATAAAACAAAAAGTAAGTTTTTCATTCATCCCAAACTCCCCAGAATTAGACCTTTTTAACAGTTTCTTGTGTCCTCCTTGCAGAAATTCTCTATACCTTTCATTATCTTGACACTGAACTGCTTCTTGCTCAGATTTATCCAGAACCCAGGGAGCTGAGAGTGGGCTGGAAACCCCTGCCACATGATGCCTAGCAGTCCCCAAATTGTGAGGGAAGTGAGGATCCACAGCACAGAGGTCACTGCCTCTGAAGGTGAATGGACCTGGATTCAAACACCATTCTTGTGTCCTCCTTGCAGAAATTCTCTATACCTTTCATTATCTTGACACTGAACTGCTTCTTGCTCAGATTTATCCAGAACCCAGGGAGCTGAGAGTGGGCTGGAAACCCCTGCCACATGAAGCCTAGCAGTCCCCAAATTGTGAGGGAAGTGAGGATCCACAGCACAGAGGTCACTGCCTCTGAAGGTGAATGGACCTGGATTCAAACACCGGTACAGCAGGATGCCCCCACCCCGCCCCATCTCTTAACCCCCAGCTCTCCCAACTGCAGTGTCTTCCCTTTCTCTTCCACCTGAACTTTTTTTTTTTTTTTAAAGATGACCGGTAAGGAGATCTTAACCCTTGACTTGGTGTTGTCAGCACCACGCTCACCCAGTGAGCAAACCAGCCATCCCTATATGGGATCCGAACCCATGGCCTTGGTGTTATCAGCACCGCACTCTCCCGAGAGAGCCACAGGCCGGCCCTTCCACCTGAACTTTTATACACGGACAGTTTACTATGTGCCAGGAGTTACCCTAAGTGCCTTACATTTGCTAACTTGTCTAACCCCCATGATAAAACTATGGGGTGGTTACTGTTTTACATATGCCTCCTATATGGATGAGTAGACTGAGGCCCAGCAGTATTAAATAACTTGTCTGAGATCACATAACTCAGAGTGGGACTTGAGCCCAGGCAATGAGGCTCCAGAATCCATGCTGTCAACCAACACTCCACTGCCTGTCCCCAGCATTGCCACAGGCCTTCCAGCACAGGACAAACGTAGGACTCAGACACACACAGGGAAAGATGGAATAATTACATAGCAATCCCCAGCCCTGCTGCAGGTGAAAAGGGCAGAAGCTGCCTATTTCATCTCTGGGTGCCCACAAAGACAATTCTGAAGAATTACTTACAGCAGCTGTTAACTTCATAGATACCAAACAGTGATTTGGGACTGCATGTTGGGAACATGAGGCTGGCAACGGGTTGGGGTCTTAAAGGAGTATCAGCTCCATTTTCCCTGCTCTCAGGTGCCCTGCCATGTCCCTCCTTTAGAAGGTCCCAAGTCCCTCTGAGACTCTCCCATTAGCATCCCAAAGCAAGCTGCACTGTTGCTCTGCGCAGGCAGAGGAGCCAGCTGCCCACCGCGGCAGAGGCTTGGCTGACAGGTGAGCAATCTAGGCTGTCTGCCTGCCCAGACTAAGGCTTCTTGTCAGTTCAAGGCAAGGGGACCAAAAAGCTCTGCAGATTCTGTAGCTGCGCACC